TGCCTATCCCACGCATGCTTAAACTCCTTTACTGTGTTAGATATTTGATCTCTGTCTCATTTAAAATGAAACGGTATAAAAAACAACCCCTGAATATTTAGGCATTTAAAGTGAATGTAAGAAGGTTTGTAACCACTGTTTATCAAATGTAGCTCATCTCTCTTGTACAAAATTCATAACAAGAACGTGATGATCTAGATCTCGCGTAGCCACAGCCAGTCTGTATGTTACCAGGAATTTTTGATCAAGAAATACCACTATGGTGTTTTGCCTTAAAGATCTTAAAATAAATTCAGAAAATTGAAATTATTCTCATATCTACTATCTGTCCTCTGCTAACCCAGTGATTGCACAAAATTCCGTCAATTAAAAGCAGCCTATCCACCTATTGGGTTCCACTTCTAGTGCCCCCTTGTGGACAATTAGTACAGTGATAATTTTTTCTACCAATGCTACTGATTTCTATTATCGTCCTACAGATTGCCAACATGGATGAATAAAATGACCTGTGTTTTATATTCAGGTCATGATAACTACAATGGGGAACCCCGAAGAAGAGAGATACTCCAAATTATATGAACTGTGAGCTTAGAATGTTTTGGGGAGACAACGGTTCTTTAAGGTTTATTTAGACAATTTGAGCTTTGTTTGTCATTGTCATCTTTCTGTTTGTTTTTGTTTTTTTTTAATTCTTTATTTGTTCCAAAACGGGACATCTTATACATTGCATACATAACCATTGGTATACATTCTCAAAATAAGTACAAAAAACTTCAATTTTCACAAAATACAGCAGTATCCGCAAGACTACACATTGAAACTGTGACCAATTACAAACTTCGTAAATGTGTCTAGCGGTTGTGTTCGCAGTTGCCGAATTGTGGTAACTTCCCCTTTTTACATGCATCTCAAGATATCCCGTTTGGTGTTTTTATGTTAAAAGAAAATAGAATAAAATATATAAATATCGTGCTATAGCTTACACTGAGAGCCACAAGGGGCACAAATGAATAATTGCGTTTGCTTCTCCATCTGCACCATTTACCCCTGATAGTTCCTGTGTGTATAATCTTATAATTGTAAAGAACAAAAAAGAAGGTTCCAAGATCGGAACTATAAAAAGAAAAAGACGGCTTCCTCGAAGGTCCGAGGAAAGAGAAAGATACAAGTATGTATAAATGTGGGAAAGAAGGGGGGGGAGAGGCAAACTCCAGGAAGGCCTGACCGGTAAAAAGCACACGATGAGTTGTGTCACCTTATTGATTCCATTTATCCTGCCTAACTCATATTTGCCCGACCTCAAAAAAGGGGGTGAGTTTGGGACAAGCGGACCCTAACCTATCTTTACGTTGCCCCGAGTGATACTATTTCAGGTATGTATGCTTGGTCCGTTCTGCAGTTTTAGTCGCTAACTGTACTATTGATCCAAGGGTCCCAAATCTTTTCAAATTTCTTTGTAGTCCCTCTGACCTGAGCTGTCAATTTGTCCATTAAAAAAGTATCCTTTATTTTATGTTTTATTATTGCTATCATAGAAGTGTTTTTCTGTAGCCAACCCTGCGCTAGGGTGTCTTTCTGTTTTAGGTGATGTATGCATCGTGTCATTTCTTTTTAATGTTTAACTTATATAAATAAGCTCAGTCATTACATCTGTTGTATTTATATTTATTTTTTCTAAACAGTGGATACTATATTTCTAACGTTCTTCTCTATCCTGATGTCAGGTGCTCGGTCAGTGCACACAGTCAGTAGGTGGACAACTACGGACAATACATTGACAATATGCTCCAGAATAAACCCAGCTAACATTAAACCTGTCTGTGCCTTGTATCCCTATGAAACAATCTACACTGTACAATATAATAGTTATAACACATTTTTTGAAAGGGATAAAAAACCATCCTTCTTTTGGAAATTACACTTTGTAAAAAAACATTGATAATAACCTATAGCATGCATTGACCTTTCTGTTTTGTAATGCAAAGTTTTCTTTTAAAAGTATATGAAAGATTTATCAAGTGACATCACAATCAGGTTCAGTTCAGGCTCAGACAGATATGCTCATATCACGCAAAAGTGCAAACCTGTGCAAAAATTCCTTTAAGTGTGCGTCCACAAAGTCTGTATTCTATGTAACACCACCGTGTCCCAATATAAATCGCAAATATACTTAGCACAAAGAGAGATGACATCTCCCAGGACATTCTCCCAAAAACCCTGAAATCTAATATATAGGACAGCAATATATCGTAATAAAAACATTATATTCGGATATACTGGTTTGTGCTTTCATACATACTTTTATTCATCAGAAGCCCCTGAGGAAGCCTGTGAAATGCGAAATGTTAACAGCAAGGAGCAATCTGAAGTGGAACATCTCAATACCTGGGGATATTCTTTTACGCAAATGAAATATAATACATTTGGATTTTATACTGCTATATTGGTGTCCTGCACTATTGTATTTATGTCTATTCACAGCTACATGCCACCATTAGAGCCTTGGTGAAGATACTGGTTTGAAGATCCCTACAGCAGGAGTTTCAAAGCAATTTATCTGAATACCATATTAGATACTTCTGCTTGTGAGTGCAATCTACTCTATATTAACCTACAATTTCCAGTTGAGTTATTAATTAATGTGTTTTGTTCAGTTTCTTTTAGGTGGACTGTATCTCCATTCTATTTGGCCGTATTGTTTTCAGGCACTGCCAGGGCACACAATGCAAATGAGGAAGAGATGAGGAAGTGAGGAAGAGAATAATTGGTTGTCCCACAGTATTCTGGCGATTCAAAGGTTATCTCTCCTGGTGCCACCTTGTGGACGTTTCAAAGAATAAGAACTAAGTTTAAAAAGAAATATCTAGGGATTTCTATGTCACACTGCACATCTAGCTGCATTTCGAAATACAGAGCTACAAGTTTATTCACTTAAGTGAGCAATTAAGTAGAAATAGAAATAAAATAGATAAGCTGTAAACAGTGGCAAGCTGGAAAGCTATCCTCAGAAACAATGGTGCCCTCAGTATTTGCTCCTCGAGCTGTCTTATGACATCATGCGTAGCATTCTTTTGACATCATAAGTTCACTGAATCTATATTTCTCATTTAATTTTTCCACGGGAAGTAAAAAATGCAATTGGCTTTTCATCACAGTGAAATACAGTCAAGTAATCACAGCATTAAAAAACAAACCAAACCATAAATAACCCAGAATAAAAAGGTTTTGCATTTTAATTAAAAGGCAAGCTATGCAGGAACAAGATCACAACTTTTTGCCTCCTTCTAGAGGAGCTGTGGATGCAAAGAGCAGTGTGCAATGCAGTTGTCTCAACGTTTTAAAACATCACTGCCATTCCTGATCTTTTCATAAACATAGACTTTTTAGGTTTTTGGGGGCTATTACATGGAGTGTCAGGATATGGACATGGTCGGGTCTCAACCTCCACTGCTCTGTAGGGTAAACTTTTAAGTTACTGACTTGGACGTTCTCACCGAGCTAAAAGCTGGCTGGTGGTAAGCATTGAAAGGAAAAGGGAATTTTGGTTTGGATGAGGTGGGAGGCGAGAACCCTGTGGGCAAGTTGGTGCATAGGCACGTGGTCTCTTTCATTGGCAAGGACGCTTATGTAAGCGAAGGCTATAGGGCACTAGGTGTTAATAATTACATGTAAAGTTATGGATTATTTATGTATTTATTTCTGGTTATAATTGAATGATAAAGTTTAATAAATGTGGGATGAGTCCTGCAGTCTTATGTTTAATAAATGCTATTGCTTGTTCCATCCAAATTCGGTGTCTGTCGTTATTGGGGGTTATTTGGGGGTACGCTACATTGTTCTTATTTGCACCACATTCCCCGCTACGTCCATACATGTAAAAATATGGGAAATTGGGAATTTAATGGGGAGATTCCACTTTCTGTACTTGCCATTTGCCATCAGCTGTCACTTACAATTGCTAATGGAACAGGGATATTTAAGCCCATAATCTGTTCAGGGGCTCGGTCGAAAACTGAGGCCCACTTGGGTCACAAACTTCCTAGGTTGTCCTCTTGGTGTTATGTTTCTCTTACAGACTGCTAAAAATATAATAATGAAAGAAGCTGTAGTTAATAAAGAAAACATTTCAAGATGGAGAAACCACAAAATGCGTTCCCAGCCCCTGAAATAAACCACCCCCATTCTTTAATTACAGAGCGTTCAGGAGCACACATTTGAGGATGTAGAGAATTATTTTGAGCATGTTAAGGGACTTTGCAAACTCCTAGATGAGATGCTGCCTCTGTCTTTAGAATGAAGAGCAGAAGACAAGTCTAGTGACCATTTCTGGACAATATCATGGACTTGCTGATGTTCGGGTCCTATTGCGTGTGGGTGGTTTTATTAACTTTGACATCAGGTAGGTCACAGAGCATAATGATGTTTGGAGTTGTTTAATTGTTGATAACAAGACCATCCATAATTTAAAAGCAATCACATGGGCTGTGTTCATGTCCACCAGAAATGCAAGAAAATAATATATTGGGGTGAAGCACTATTTTGGTGTACACTTGGATTGAGCCTTTGAATCTATCTCCAGAATTCAGATAGGCCTTTAGATGAAGTAAAACAATTGCAGGGATATTTACTAACATGAGAATTCAAAGTGAATTTCATATTTAAGGCCAGAGCATCTAAGCTGAAAGCATAGCATTTTTACAAGTCAGATATTTTTACCTTAAGTTTAAAATTCACTTTGAATTCACCTTGAAATTCTGAAGTCAGTGAATAACCCTGTTGGTCATCATGGGAGAAGAAGACAAAGGTGCAACCTGAGAAATCTGTAGAATATCATCAGTTGCCTGTTTTTATTTTTTTAAATAAATTTAGCACCAACATATTCCTTAAATATTTCTGACATGCAGATCTCTCTTTATTCTTCTTTAAGATCACAAACCTTCTAAATCACTATTGTTTCATTCGCTGCAGGAGATAGTACTTCCAATTTGCCAGGTGTAAAGATGCAACAACGTCTTCGAACCAAACATATCACGGATCATACATTCCCCTTGAATACAGTTGGATTAAGGTTTCCTGGTTCGATTAAAACCAGGACTGGTGGTATGGAGATACTGGAGGAACGAGACTTTTTTAAAGAGATATTGAAATTCCACAAGAAGAATCGGGACAGGTCAACTGGCCTCAAAGCACTGCAAATTCAAACAAGCTCATCTAGATGGAAAAGAAAGCATATAAGGGATTGCCCAATTCGGGGCCTTTTGTATGCAAGGAACAGGCAACGGTTGCACGAACCAGAGGGCAAATCACCAACCAAGGAAGTTATACTAAACAAAGGTGGGTCAAGAAAATGTGTTTCTTCAATGGACACCTTTAGAGATAGACTTCCAAAATCAAAAAGAGGGAAAGTTGTGTCCAAGGGGTTTAAACGTAAGAAGTTCGTATCAATAGTAAATAAGCCCAAACAAGGCACTATGGGAGGCAAACAGCATCGATCATGGTCTGGAAGAAAAGGAGCAGTTGTACCCAAGGATCTCAAGAGTTTGAGCAAGGGATCAATAAGCTCTGAACTAGGACTACACCCTAGAGGTGACAAGGGCTTGACTTCAAAGGAGGTCCTAGTAAGAAATGTTGGGTCAAGACAACCTAACATTTTTTTAATTCCTAGAAGTAAAAATAAAATGGGACTGTATCCAGAAGTGCATAGAGAGATGTTATTCAAAGAGATTTCACCTACAAATTATACGTCGTCTGATGTCTTCTCCAGCACTTCAAAGAACACATGGTTAGATGAAGAGGGAGTAGACAGGATGATGAATACAAGTGGTCAACACTCAAGTTTCAGTGACCCTCAATTTCAAACAGATGGCAGTGGGAGCTCACCAGTCATTTCTGATTATAACCAAGAATGGGATAATTCCAACAACATTCAGAAAGTTTTCCAAAGCATAACAAGCTCGACAGACTTATTGCAGATACCTACCAACAATCCAGAAGGGATTATCTCAATGTTTGCTCAACCCTTCCTAACTACAACTTTCCAGCAGCTTTTAAGAGAAACATTGCCTTTCTCCACACTCAAAAGAGAGGAGGTGACCACAAGAGTTGCGAACTCCACTCCGAGGGAAGGATTATTGGGTCTAGTTAAATTGTACTCTGTAGATAGGTCAGCGAAGGTGTCTGAGTCACTAGGGTGTAAATCTGGCTATGTTGAATTTGGTGGCACTTGTTCAAGCATCTGTGACCTTGATCCTATCTACTGTGAAAACAGAGGACAGTGCGTTATAGTGGAGAATATTGGAGCCATGTGCAGGTGAGATAGCTTATAATCCACTGTTCATAATGTTGATTAAGGGAAGACACAGGTAAGTAGATTGCTGGGGGTTATTCACAAAAATGGAAACTGTGGAGAATTGACCTTGTCAAGTATCCACAAATCCCAGATTATGAATATCTATGAGAATGTATGCTTATTTACCATTATAATATCAAATCCAACATTTTGAGTTTTATTATAGAGATACTGTTATAGCTCTACAATATAATGATGCTGCATTCATAAGATCAAGATCATTGCAATGTTAAGTTCTGTTCATGTGCACCCCCTTTCAACTGTAATCACCCCCTCCCACATGGTAGCCTGATGGAACACTATAAAACTATATTTGAGAAGCAAGCAACTACCTGATGTAATTTTAAATTTAAAACAACATAACACTAATATCCTCTTACCATCTCCACCCTTTGATCTGGGACTAAAGAGCCCAAAATCTGGGGCTTCAATCCCCAAAGCCTCCTCCCTCTAATTCCCATGGCTACATACTGTAGCTATGAGGGGTACCCCATAAGCGCACATTAACACCTTTTACAGGTACATTCAATTCCTGAACAGCAACATTAAAACGGGGCTGTCTTATTAGGAAAGCTGGGCTCTACCACTAATGTGTCAACTCAACATTCTCAACAGTTGCCTTTCTTTAAAATTCATTCTGTCTAATCAATACCTCCTGTAGCAATATCTAAACACACCTGTTTACCAGATTTTCTCCATTCTGTGTTATCCTCCCTTTAGGTGTCTGAATACAAACTACTTGTGCAATAGGGGTGAATGCTGCGTTCGGTCTCTTACCCCCATCCAGATACTGAGCATCGCTGGAACTTGCTGTGTCCTCGTATCAATCATATTAGGATTGTTTCTTGCCTTAATCAGAAGAACAGATGTCAAGATTGTCCCTAAATATGGCCTTGACGGCAGTAGGTCAGAAACTTCTTCCCTCAAAGCCGATAACATTAGCACTAATGCTCTCCCTTATTCTTTCTCTGGACAAATGATGTCTATTTTAAAAAATCTTTTCCTCTGCCTTTGTTAGACTAATGTCCTACATTTGTTCTGATGTTGTCGTAAAGCGGCACTGTCATGCCGAACTTACCTTTTTTAATCGATTCCTCTTCTCTCCCTCTCTCAGGATCTATTCTTCATTTCTTCTTGTCTGCTCTAGATTTCTTTGAAACATAAGACAAAGTAGGGACTATTTGTCTTATGGAGTTGTCCTACACCTGACCATCTCTGACCAGCATAGAAGCAAAGTGTTTCCTGTGGTCAGAGAAATTTTCCCACAATTCTCACCTTTCCTCCATTTTCTCGCGATGCCTCCTTTCCGTATTCCTGAACGCCGGCAAAACTACAGAATTTCACCCTAACAGAATGAGAGCAGTTCGTCCATTCGTGTTAGGACGAAATTCTGGACTTTTTGTTCGGATCGGAATTTCATTCGAATGAATGAAATGCCGATCTATTTGTGCGCGGGTGCATCTTGCAGCAACTTAGTAGATAGCTCCCTAATTCCCATGATATTAGACAGCTATCTACCAAAAGGCTGAAAGACCAAGATTGTGGGTTTTTTATTTGACCTTTTTGGGGGCTGAAAAAAGAAGGTTTTAGAAAAAAGAAGACATCAAATGGTAAGTATTTTATGGGGGGGTGACTAGGAGCTTGGGACCCTAGTCCCCTGGGGGAGGGTTTGACATTTAGCCCCCACCCGCCGCTCATGGGGATGACAATAGGTCCCAATTTTCATTTAGGGCCCTCACCCGCCGCTCGTGGGTGGGGGCCGGGGGACAATAGATCCCCCCCTCCCCAATTTTAATTTAGGTCTCCCACCTGCCGCTCATGGTTAGGGGTTAAGGGGGCACTATGTCCCCGTTTATATGCATAGCACCAACTCACGGGGCATGGGTGGGGGCTGGGGGGGGGACAGCTCCCTGTCGCTTCTATTTTTACATATTACAAGGAGGAAGCTGCGCGCCGGTAGCTCCCTCCTTGTAATAAATTGAACAAACAAACACTGATATTCAGTGTTTGTTTGTACGTCAGAAATTTCTTTTCATTTATTTGTCTTTCCAACGAATGAATAGACAAAATCCCCGTAGCGAATGCCCAAGTGTTTAACTGGGAATGCGTGGGAATTTCACAGCGCTATCTAGGGTGGGCAGATGACGTGTCCCACAGGGACTTCATCTACCCACACAAAGATGGAAGCGCCCAGGACATAGGTCCGGGCAGAAAATAAAGATTTAAAAATAGGTAATGTGGAGGACTTAGGGGCATTTGGGGGTGACTAGGTGGACAATTAGATGTAGTGGAGTCGGGAGGTGGGGTTAAAAAACAAACAAACTGGATTCGGCCATGACAGTGCCGCTTTAACCCTTTATCTCAATTAAATTTTAAAATACATGTATCAAGTTATTTGAAAATGCTTTGGCCTTGAAAAGGTACAATCTCCAGAAAACATTGTTCAAAATATTAGTTATAATGAGATACAACAATAATCTGTTCATTTGCACATATATATAGTTTGCACATAAAAAAAAAACTGAGAGCTGGACATTTTGAGAAACTGAGCTTTGTATTTAATCTTTAGAGCAGCTTCACAGACAGTGTTCTGCTAAAAACGTTAAGAATGTTAAAGGACCACTCTAGGCACCCAGACCACTTCAGCTTAATGAAGTGGTCTGGGTGCCAGGTCCCTCTAGGATTAACCCATTTTTTTTATAAAAATAGCAGTTTCAGAGAAACTGCTATGTTTATAAATGGGTTAATCCATCCTCCAAATCCTCTAGCGGCTGTCTCATTGACAGCTGCTAGAGGCGCTTGCGTGATTCTCACTGTGAAAATCACAGTGAGAACACGCAAGCGTCCATGGGAAAGCATTATGAATGCTTTCTAATGAGACCAGCTGAATGCGCACGCAGCTCTTGCCGCGCGTGCGCATTCAGCCGAAGGGGAGGAGAGGAGGAGGAGAGCTCCCCGCCCAGCGCTGGAAAAAGGTAAGTTTTAACCCCTTTCCTCTCCCCAGAGCCGGGCGGGAGGGGGACCCTGAGGGTGGGGGCAACTTCAGGGCACTATAGTGCCAGGTAAACGAGCATGTTTTCCTGGCACTATAGTGGTCCTTTAACGCTAATAATGTCAATTGTGTCACCCAGCATAAAATCCACTCACTTATGAACCCCGATACTAACCTAGAACATGTGTTCTTCACTATCTGACCATTGAATTTACAAGATCTCAGTGTGACTTTAAGGATTGTACCAAGGCTTTAACCATGATTTTATTACATTTTATTCAAAATTTAAAAAAAATGAGAGGTATAGTGGGAGATTTATCAAAGTTGTATGTTCTAAAGAAGTGCTCTAAAGTACTAAAAGTGGGGCAATCACTATGGAAAGCAGTGGAGCCAGCAGCATATTCCATTGGTGATTTTTCCTCTTTTATACGCTTAGCACCATAAGAACAGAACACTTTCCTAAATCGCCAGCGTAGAGTTTTTCTTTTGACAGCGGTTGACTGAGCCTCTGGTGTCTCCTTCCTTCTAGCAGATTTTGGATTTCCACCTTGTTTCCTGAGTCCAGTGACTCTTCCTCGTCGATTTCTGATGCGTCTGACTTCACTTGGTCTTCTCACTGTGACTCTCTGCCAGACCTTTCAACTTTTGGTAACACAAAGACGGTGAGGAGCGTCCAGTAATCAATATTTATCGACAATCTTCTCTTCCCCCTACTTACCATACACTGGGCACACATTCAGTACTCAGGGGGTTAATATAATTCATAATAAATATTTGCATGTAAATTAATGTGCTTATTTGATCCCCAAAACAAACACATGGTGATACTGTATCATCTTCTTGTTTCTAAATCACTAGGGGGCAGTGTTGCCTCATATCACTTTCATTCAGGGATCTGTGTAGTTTGAGAGCCTCACCGTGCCAGTAACATGTTTAATAATTCTATTCCCTTTACAGGCGACCTGTGACTCCGGCCTCTGGACATCTGAGAGCACTCGGTTATAGTACATCCTGCGTCACTGACTCCACGGAACTTAATATGCAATATACAGGAAAAGAAATAACCACAAAAACTTGACAGTATATGCAATGTATGTTGGATTGAATAAAACACATGGCTTCATATAAATCAATCAAAGCATTTATTTACTGACAGAGTTATTTATTAAACTGGGAAGGGACCAGTTTTCTTGGTCTAGAATTATCAATTCCCTGGTCAGTATGAGACAATTTTCCTCTGTGATTTGAAGTGTTTATGGTGCCTGTATGTGCAGTGTTTCGCAGTGTACCCCAAGATTAACCACTCTGTTGGAGGTGTAACTTCACCTTCTATCACGTAATTGGGGTGTCATTAGCTATCCTGAAACAAGAGTTTTGGAAAGGTTAATGTGAATTTGGTGCAAAATTGTCTTTGGTCCCAGCAATGAATTGCTCTTCTTACCATCTGTGTACATCTGACTGCAGGACTGTGTGCCCGCGACAAAGATACACACACCTGCATTCACCTACATGCATATTTCTATCTGAATGAAATACCCATCACACACAGTCAATACACCCATTACATATAACACATCATACATATCACACACACCCATCGCACCCATCACACAAAGACAACACACACATGCACACATTACATCATATTTTTGTGAGATTTATTACAGTGGTACTCAACTCTCGCAAGCTGTCAGAAAATTGCTGTGGATTACCATGGCAACAACCGGGCTCATTGCAAGTAAGGGAGAGGACCTGCCAGAAGACGAAGATGACTTTTGCTGGGCCCCCTCGTCACTATACAGCAGGTGGCAGCCTGCAGAATGCCACAGGACCACCAGGGAGTGTAATATCCCCGCTTCCTGTCACAAGTAAGAGGCACTGAGGGGATAAAATTAAAAAATTTAGTTTTTGAAAAAGAACACAACTTTTTGCCCACAGAATGCAGCACCTATCCTACTGTCACGTATTTATCCGCTTATAGAAATGTGGTTAATGACATTTACTGTCCACACAGGAAAAGTTGTGCCGAGCAGCAACCTAATCCACAGAAGGGTTAATGCTGAGCAGCAATTATGCAAATGAAACCTGGTAACTGACTTTGGGGTCAAAGGCCGGTTACAGCCTATCAGAACTAAAGGAGGGGTATTTAGGCCCAGTTCTCAGCCTGCTCAGTGCCCTGTCGTGGTTTCCCTTGTGGTTGTCCGAGAGCGCGTTCCTGTTTATAGTTTTCTACCTGGTTTTTGACTTTGGCTTTGTTTATTGACTTCTCTATATTCTGGTATCCTGATTCCTGGCTTTCCTCATCACTGTGTCCCTTTCTGTGTTCCCTGACCTCGGCTAGTATTTTTGACTATTCTTTGTACGTTAAATCCGGCCATTCTAAGGACCGGTAATACGTTACTTATTTGTCATCCGTGCTGTACAGTTCTACGTGCTGGATCAAACAGTAATCCTGACATTACGACATGGCCATAGATCCTGTAGAACTGTGTCAGCACATAGCTGCTTGCGAGAGGAAATTAGAGGAGAATGATCACCGCATGGATCAATTCACTCAGGCTTTAAGTACGCTTCTCGCTAGAACGGAGCATCTGCAGCCTGCAGCGTCTCCTCCTATAGCACCTCTACCCTGTGTACCTCCACCCACTGTTAATATGACTCCTAGCATCTCCTTATCACCATCCCTACAGTTTGATGGCAATATCCAGGAATGCAGGGGTTTTCTTAATCAGGTGGAGTACCATTTTGAGGCCTCACCAGGGTCATTCCCCACGGACAGAGCAAGAATTGGTTATCTAATGAATCAATTAAAGGGCAAGGCCCTTGCCTGGGCTAATCCGTTGTGGGAGAGTAATCTGAGCATAGCTCATAATTACCAGGAATTCCTTGCCGAATTCAAGCTCACGTTTGAGCCATTGGGTAGAGAGGATGACGCCTCCACTGCCCTAATGCACATCAGACAAGGTAACCGGTCTATCTCGGATTATGCTATTGAATTCCGTACCTTAGCTTCCGAGGTAGACTGGACTAACAATGGGTTAATCTCAGCATTCAAAAAGGGTCTCTCAGAGACTATACTAGATGAGATAGCCGCTAAAGAATTACCTAAGAGTCTTAACGAATTTATTACGTTTGTCATGCATATTGATAATAGGTTAAGACTCAGAGAAGTCACCAGAAGCAAGACCAGACGTACGGCTATGTCCCTAGCACCTCAATTCTCTAAACCTGTTTTGTCTAACCTCCCTGTACAGTCCGAACCCGAACCTATGCAGTTGGGGGTCACTAGACTGTCAGAGGCCGAAAAACAGTATAGGAGAAGGGAGGGGTTATGCCTATATTGTGGTAGAAAGGGACATATGATAACTAATTGTCCAGTGCGTCCGGAAAACTTCCGCACCTAAGAACCTTAAGGGGACAGATCTTAGGTGTGATGGAGTTGTCCTCTAACAAAAACAAAAGTAGATTCCTCCTTGAGGTATCTATTTCCCTTGATAACAAGAAGTTTTCTTGCAGTGCCCTAATGGACTCAGGTGCTGCTGGAAATTTTATTGATGTCCAGTTTATTAGGGGTAATGAGATACCGGTCAGGGAGAGACCTACGCCGCTAGCTGTAGAGGCTATTGATGGTAGACCACTCACACAACCGCTTATAACCCACGAAACTGTCCCTATTACGATCTCCATTGGGGCCTCCCATAGGGAGGAGATGACGTTTCAGGTTATTACTTCTCCATCATGTCCTATCATATTAGGGTTTCCGTGGCTGAGTAAGCACAATCCCTATATTGACTGGGCTAATGGGGAGATATTAGAATGGGGTAAAGAGTGTATGGGGAGATGTATAAAACCAGTACTAAAGAGATTGGATACTATTGACCTTCCCACTACCACTCCCCAAACTCCTGGAGTTCCCATACAATACCGAGAACTTCAGGAGGTGTTTAACAAGGCTCAATCTGATGTATTGCCTCCCCACAGAGCATATGACTGTGCCATTAACCTGTTTCCAGGCGCTATGCCACCTAAGGGGGCAGTTTATGCCTTATCTCCCCAGGAGAGTAAAATAATGGAGGAATACATCAAAGAATCCTTGAGCAAAGGGCACATAAGAAAGTCATCCTCACCAGCTGGTGCAGGATTCTTTTTTGTTGAGAAAAAGGGTGGTGAGTTACGCCCTTGCATAGACTACAGGGCACTTAATAAAATCACTGTAAAAAATGCATACCCTATCCCACTCATTTCCGAATTGTTCGATAGACTTCAGGGAGCTAAAGTATTTACTAAGCTTGACCTTAGGAGCGCTTACAATTTGGTTAGAATTAAAGAGAATCATGAGTGGAAGGCGGCATTTAATACCCGTAGTGGACACTATGAATATCTGGTAATGCCATTTGGGTTATGCAACGCCCCGGCCGTATTCCAAGACTTTATAAATGATGTACTCAGGGAATTCATTTACTCATTTGTCTTGGTTTATTTGGACGATATTTTGGTGTATTCCCCTGATCTTCAAACTCACCACTCCCATGTGAAACAGGTTCTGCAGACGTTGTTGAAAAATAAACTTTATTGTAAATTAGAAAAGTGCATATTTGACCAGCCTGAAGTCCACTTTTTGGGTTACAACATCTCTGCATCGGGATTTCAAATGGATCCTAAAAAACTAGAGGCTGTACTACACTGGCCATTACCCTCTGGTTTAAAAGCCATTCAAAGGTTTATTGGTTTTGCCAACTATTACAGAAGATTCATCAAGGGATTTTCTTCTGTAATAGCCCCAATCACAAATATGACTCGCAAAGGGGTTAGTAGCACGGTATGGTCCAAAGAGGCTGTGAATGCTTTTGAGACTCTTAAACAAAGATTTGCCTCTGCGGACATACTAAAACATCCCGACACTAGTAAACCTTTTATATTGGAGGTTGATGCATCCGAGACAGGGGTAGGGGCTGTTCTCTCTCAGAGAGAAAGCCAGGGAACACCATTGCATCCTTGTGGCTACTTCTCCAGAAAGATGTCTCCTGCTGAGCGCAACTATGATATTGGCAATAGAGAACTGTTGGCCATTATTCTTGCCCTCAAGGAGTGGCGACATCTTTTGGAGGGTTCCAAGGACCCCCTGTTGATCATAACCGACCACAAAAATCTGGCATATATAGGGGATGCCAAACGTTTGTCTTCCAGACAGGCTAGATGGTCACTGTTCCTTTCACGTTTTAACTTTCTCATTACTTATAGACCTGGTTCTAAAAATACCAAGGCTGATGCCTTGTCCAGGCAATTTGATAATGAGTCAGCTCCGGAACAGGTGACATCTCCTATTATTCCACCAGAGTGTATTATTGCTACTACTGTCCTCTCACTGTCTTCTCCACTGCTTGGCACCATACTGGAGGCCCAGCCTCAGGCGCCCAGTGGTAAACCGTGTGATAAACTGTTCGTTCCCCTATGTGAAAGGGTTAATATCATGAAAGTGTTCCATGACAATATAACTGCTGGACACCCGGGCATCAATAAGTCCACTGCCGCGATCACTAGATCATTTTGGTGGGATTCACTCAGGAAAGATGTAAAGGAGTATGTGCAGGCATGTTCTGTGTGTGCAGTTTCTAAGGTGACTCATGCACTTCCTTGTGGCCTGTTGCAGCCTCTTCCTGTTCCTGAGATTCCATGGTCCCACTTATCCATGGACTTTATTGTTGAGCTTCCTAGCTCTGCTGGGTTCACTACTATTCTCATGGTTGTAGACCGATTTTCTAAGATGGCTCACTTCATTCCTCTCAAGAAGTTGCCATCTTCGCAAGATTTGGTCCTAATTTTCATACGTGAAATTGTCCGTTTGCATGGCATCCCCCACAATATTGTGTCTGATAGGGGCTCTCAGTTTGTGTCCAGGTTCTGGAGGGCGTTCAGTAAACAATTGGGGATTGATCTCTCCTTCTCCTCCTCCTACCATCCACAGACCAATGGTACAGCTGAGAGGGCTAACCAGTCATTAGAAG